TAGTGAATCATAGATCTAAAGGTAAAATCCAAAACTATAATTCTCCAGAAGGAAATTTAGGAGAAAATATTTGCAACCTTGATTACACAAAGAGTTCTCAGATAAGACACCAAAAGTACAATAAGTTGATAAATTGGACTTCTTCAAAATTAAAAACTTCTGCTCTTCAAAAGACACTGTTAAGAGAATGAAAAGACAAGGCACATAAGGCAAAAAATATTTCCAAATCACACAGAAGATAAAAGGCATGTATCCAGAGTATAAAAACAACTCTTGAAACTCAATGGTAAGAAAATAAACAATCCAATTTTTAAAATGGGCAAAAGATCAGAACAGACACTTAAAGAAAGAAGATATTATATGGATGGCAAATAGCACATGAAAAAAAATCTCTACTTCATTAGTCATTAAGGATATGCAAATTAAAACCATGGTAAGATACCACTCCACATCTCCTAGAATGGCTAAAATGTTTTCAAAACCTGACCACACCAAGTGTTGGCGAGGATGTGGTGAAACTGGAAGTCTTACACACTGTTGGAGGGAATGTAAAATGCTATAGCTATTTTCAAAAGCAGTTTGCTGGTTTTGTACAAAGTTAAACATATACTTATCATATGATCCAGCCATTCTACTCCTAGGTATTTACCCAAGAGAAATGAAAGCATATGTCCATACAAGGACTAGTACAGGAAAGTTCATAGTTTTATTTGTCATAACCCAAACTGGAAGCAACCCAAATGTCCATAAACAAGTGAATGTATAAATAAAGAGTGGTATGATTTTACAATGGAAACTACTTAGCAATTAAAAAGAATGAACTATTGTTACACTCTACAGCATAAGTGAATGTAAAAATAATCATGGTGAATGAAAGAGGGTAAATAAAAAAGAGTATATTCTGTATGATTCCAGTTATATAACATTTTAGAAAATGAAAACTAATCTATAGCAACAGAAAGTAGATCAATGATTGTCTGAGGATGAAGGTAGGGGAGGGTAGGAGGTGAATAGAGGGAGCAGGGAAGGGTGAGAGAAAGGGATTACAGAAGGTCACAAGGAATCTGTAGTGACTGATGCATATGCTCAGTGTTTTGACTGTGGTGATGGATTTATGCATGGGTACATTTACGTCAAAGGCCCCTCCTAATTTACTCTTGTCCATCAATTCACACTCATGGCAACACCCCCTGTATTATACTTTAAACTTTAGCAAGCAATATTGAATCCTTGTCTTAATGTTTCCTTCTTTACTTTGCTAATGTGTTTCTTTGCTGAAATTTCCCCTTTTCTTTATGGTCTCTTATTCTAGTTAGTTACTGATCATCCTAATGATTCAGCTCAAGTGTCACTTTTCCAGGAAGTCATCTCTGTTTATGTCTAAGTGTTCACACCCAACCCTCACTTCTCCTAAGGAGTATCTGTAATACCTGTGTACCTCTGCCATTGTACTAACCATTCTGTTTTATAAATGACTATTCCCTCACTAGAATATGAGCTCCTTGAGGGTAAGATCTATGCTATTCATCTTTGGATTCTCAAAGCCTCATTACCTCAGAATTATCTGATGTAGTGGAATGAACATGACACTGCAGAGTCAGGAGCCTTGGGCTTGAATTTTTAGTCTACTAATAAACTGATGTTTTGGACATAGGCAAATAACTAACTTACCCATCAGTAACAGAAAGGAATTGAGCCAGATGCCTCCTAGAATCACATCAGCCCCAACATCCTGGTATCCTATGACAATTAGTTCAGGCCCCTGTAACCTGATTGTCCACAGAGCACCAACTGGCTAGGTGCCCAAACTTAGGGACATTCCTACTGATTCTTTCCTTCACAGACAGGAAGAAGAACCTCTTCTTCCTTCCTCTCCCACTTTCTACCTTTCCAGACTCAGACCAAATTGAGTAAGAAAATCTTCTCACCTGGTGAAGATTGTCACTACTTTTGCCACATGCCATAAGGGCCCCAGAGAGAATGCTGCTCCATTTCCCTTTCCCCTTCTTCACTGCTACTGGGCAGTGATTAAGCCTCCCACCCCTTCCAACTACCATCTAGAGGAACTGACACCCCTCCCACAGTCAAAGTCTATGACTCTCAGCTCCATGACTCATGGTTCTATGCAAAAACCACCAACATCAGTTTCCAGGAAATCTGCATGACCAAACTACACTTAGCTGTGGCTACCTTCCACAACTCAACATGGAGGTTAGGGATTAACTTTATCCTTTAGTTTCCTCCAATGGGCTTGAGCTGGTAGACCTGTGGATTTCTAATTCCATCCTGTCTTTTTTTGACCTGGACTAACAGCACCATGTAATCTACTCTTGAATTTAATCAAGCTTAGAAGTGGTTAAGGTTGGATAGAGGCTTCAAGAACCTCTGGGAAGTTGAGGTGGGACGAGCCCTTGAGCCTAGCAGTTCAAGACTAGCCAGAACGACATAGTGAAACCCCGTCTCTATTTTAAAAAATTTTTAAGTTGAAAAAAAAAAAAAAACCTCTATCAGTTCTTCATCTTCAGCCTTATCTGATCCAATGTTACAAGCTGGTCTGGAGCCACAGTAAGACAGCTTTGGTGCTACATAGACCATTACACTTATGAGATATTAATAAGTGCTCTTCAAACAAAAGCCAAGATAAAGAAAAAAACAGTGTAAGAGAAAAGCTTCTTATATGCTAATGTGCGCTGTGAAAAGAGAAACATATACTTATATAACTACAAACCTATTTTTATGTTGGAGATTACTTATTAACAGCTCAAAGAATATAGTATTCCGTGGAACACAGTTTGATAAACACTAGCTTTGGAATCAGACAGGTCTAGTTTTGAATTCTGGTAGTACTACTTATCAGAAGTGTGATCTTGGGCAACTTGCTTAACCTGTCTTTCACTATATCTTTGAAATAGGGCTATTAATACTTACCTCAGAGGTTGTTCTGAGGGCTAAATGAGATACTATTTCCAGGATGGCCCAGTCCCTGAGTATCTGCCTTATTCAGTGAATACTCACTGAAAGATCAAGTTCAGAGCTTACCTACCAGTCCATTCCTAAGGGTAACCCTTAGCTTCTAATAGATTTTTAGGAATAAAATATACATGGGGCCAGAATAATCCTTTGCTTGTTTCATAACTTTTAAAAAGAGATTTCTTGTGCCATTTGTAAAAAAATTTTAAAAAATCAAACAATAAAGAAAAGTACATGTTTCTTTCTCCATTTGTACCTATTAGGACAAATTGAAAATTTCAAATTTCAGTAATAAAAGATAAATAAATAAATGTAAGTATAGTTTCTGTAAGACTTCCTTTCAGTGAAGAAAAGTGTTTAATAGAAAAACACCTTTGTATGCTAAGATTGAGAATACATTATTAGAACACATTTCTTTCTCCACTGAAATCTGTTAAGACATGTTGGGAAATCCCAGCAATAAAAGGCAAATGTAAGCACACTTTCTTTAAGATGCATAATTATTTTCTTTCAGTGAATGGAAGAATTTGGTAGAGCAACACCTTTGTAAGCTAAGAGTGAGAATATATATTATTAGAACACATTTCTCACTCCATTGAAATCTATTAGGAAAAGTTGAAAAATCCAGCAATAGAAAGCAAATGTAAGCATGCTTTCTTAAAGAAAAAAAAAAATCTACATTTAAAAAATAAAGAAAAGTATAAAGAAGAAAGCATAAAGTCTTCTGAAATCCCACCTCCCAGAGATAACCATCATTAGCATTTTGGCAAACATCTTTCCAGACACTTCTCCATATACATTTCTCTATATACAGATTTGTCAATTTACATACAAGAGCATTTGCGAGGTAATTATGGCTCCCTATCCCTTCCTACACAGAGCCTGTAGCACTCTTTGTTCCTTAGCAAAGAAAATTGAGGCTGTGATTAAGAAAATTTTTTTCTAAATAGGAGCGAAAATCTGTTCCCAATGAGGGCTCCCAAATTTAGGCTTTCTTGCTCAAACAAATTTAGATACATAATAGATAGTTCACTGAATCCCACAAAATACTGAGTTCCTCATAAATGTCTTATTTATAATCCTCAAATCAGCCTGACAACATAGGTGTCATTAGCCCCATTCTGCAGAGAAGTCAAGGACTGGCACAAGGTCACCCAGCTAAGAATCATCAAAGGCAGGGTGAAGGCCAAGGTCTTTCAGCCTCCAAAGCCCAAGCTCTTTCCACCATCCCAGGCTCTGGTTTTGTGCCTGCTACTTCCCAATTCATTTGGTGCAATGTGTTGAGCATCCAGGAGAAGGCCTTCCATTTTTCATCAGCTTGTGCCTCTGCAGTTTGAACTCCTATGAGCAGTGGCTGAGATGCAATCAGAGTTATGGCTGTACGTCCTTTTGAAGAGCAATAAGCAGTTGTAGCGAAAGAAGCAGGAGTAAAATAAAACAAAGCCAAAGCATCAACTCTCATGTATTAGTGTCGGCTCATCTCTCCATCAACTTATCAAGGAATGTCTGTTACCTTATTCCTTCCTAAAATTGTAATCTGGTAAAAATTTTGTTTCATCTAGGCCACTGTTAGGGGAGGAGATTTGGTGATTTATAGAAGAAGAGAGAAATAAGGAAGAAGAAAAGAGGAGAGAAAAAATGAAGAAAGACAAATCCAGATGATCTTGGAAGCTCACTTCCTCCCATTTGGGAGCTTAGCAAGACACTACTAACAGCTGAAGTGGGACAGGGACTCTTCTAATAAACTTACTCCCTAAATCAGGAACAATCACCTAAAACAGTTAGCACTGTTACAGAGTCAAGAGACCAGAGGTTCTCTTTCCTCCTATGTAGAAATATGCAGAACTTTACAGACAGGGTCGCTTGGCTAGAGCCCTGTCCATGGCTGTGCTCAGATTAAGCAAGACTCTTTGTGGGATAAGAAAAGCCACTTTGTTGGTATTCCTATCAAAAATTTAAATAACCTGAATCTAATCATGAGGAAGCATCAGATAAACTCAAATGGAGAAACATTCTAAAAAAGAACTGACCTTACTCTCCAGGAATATCAATGGCAAGAAAAACGCAGGAAGTGTTCCAGACTAAAGGAGACAAAAGTTAGAGTTGAAGGCAATGCATGACTAGAAATTTCCTTTTGCTATAAAGAATATTAATGAGGTAATTGGTGGAATCTGAATAAAATCCATAGATTGTTAATTATATTGCATAAGTGTTAATTTCCTGGTTTTGATCATTGTAAAGTGGTCATATAAGAGAATGCATTTGTTTGTAGAAATATACACTAAGGTATTTAGGGGAAAGGGCATCAATCAAGTTACTAATTACTCTTAAATGAGAGAGCCAGAGAAGAATAAACAAATGAAGTAAAATGTTAACATTTTGGAAATCTGGGTGAAAAGAATTTAGAAATTTTTAATAATATTTTTTCAACTTTTTTATCAGTCTGAATTTTGTCAGAATTTTTTTAAAGAATTGGAAAATAAATAAATGATCTAAGGGATTCTCATCTCAAAATCATTACAATTTAAGTCTTCTATGTTATAAATATTGAGATTCTACAATAGTTATTTTAAGAAGACTAAACCATGGAATAATTCTTGAATGCCTTTATTTGCTCCTGATATAGAGTAAGCCATAAGTTCAAATTTACTTTAACAAGTAAACTTTAAGAAGTTTTAAAAGATATGAGGTGTTAAAATCATTTCTTACCCCTATTCCTCAATCTAGTTCTCCTGAAATAGAAAAGGCCAAACAAAAATATTTGGAAAATAAAATATATATTTAGTTTTTCTAGTGTTTAGTTTTCTAGCATAGTGGCTTAGGATCAATTACATTTACAAGTAAGCTGTATTTTTATGTTTGTTTATGTTAAAATGCACTAAGAATTTATGTAAACGAAGAATAGTCTAATGATGCCTACTTAATAAAAAATCTCTTAGGAAAGGGACTATAGTATAATATAGAAGCAAGAGCATGCCATAGAGAATCAGAAGACATTCTAAATAACTACTAAGTAATTTTATGATTTTGGACAAGTCATTTTACTTGAAAAGTAAGCAGATTGGACAGTTGCAACAGCTCACATTTATTGAGCTCTCATTATGAGTTAGATACTTTATTTGAATCTAAATAATCTCTAACATCACTTTAAGTACCAATATTCTAATTCTTGGAATATAGCACTCTCATTTTAAATGATTATAAAAATGTATCCTTGTGGCATATTTGCTTTTACAACAATTCTTGGTCATAGCTATGAGGTATTGATGCTATTGCTTGGGTAGAAATTCTGCTGTGTGCTGGTTTTTTGAAAATATCAACAAAATTGATAGATCGCTAGCAAGACTAATAAAGAAGAAAAGAGAGAAGAATCAAATAGACACAATAAAAAATGATAAAGGGGATATCACCACCGACCCCACAGAAATACAAACTACCATCAGAGAATACTATAAACACCTCTACGCAAATAAACTAGAAATTCTAGAAGAAATGGATAAATTCCTGGACACATATACCCTCCCAAGACTAAATCAGGAAGAAGTTGAATCCCTGAATAGATCAATAACCGCCTCTGAAACTGAGGAAATAATTAATAGCCTACCAACCAAAAAAAGTCCAGGACCAGACGGATTCACAGCCGAATTCTACCAGAGTTACAAGGAGGAGCTGGTACCATTCCTTCTGAAACTATTCCAATCAACAGAAAAAGAGGGAATCCTCCCTAACTCATTTTATGAGGCCAACATCATCCTGATTCCAAAGCCTGGCAGAGACACAACAAAAAAAGAGAATTTTAGAACAATATCCCTGATGAACATCGATGCAAAAATCCTCAATAAAATACTGGCAAACCGAATCCAGTAGCACATCAAAAAGCTTATCCCCCATGATCAAGTGGGCTTACTCCCTGGGATGCAAGGCTGGTTCAACATACGCAAATCAATAAACGTAATCCAACATATAAACAGAACCAAAGACAAAAACCACATGATTATCTCAATAGATGCAGAAAAGGCCTTTGACAAAATTCAACAGCCCTCATGCTAAAAACTCTCAATAAATTCGGTATTGATGGAATGTATCTCAAAATAATAAGAGCTATTTATGACAAACCCACAGCCAATATCATAATGAATGGGCAAAAACTGGAAGCCTTCCCTTTGAAAACTGGCACAAGACAGTGATGCCCTCTCTCACCACTCCTATTCAACATAGTGTTGGAAGTTCTGGCCAGGGCAATCAGGCAGGAGAAAGAAATAAAGTGTATTCAATTAGGAGAAGAGGAAGTCAAATTGTCCTGTTTGCAGATGACATGATTGTATATTTAGAAAACCCCATTGTCTCAGCCCAAAATCTCCTTAAGCTGATAAGCAACTTCAGCAAAGTCTCAGGATACAAAATCAATGTGTAAAAATCACAAGCAGTCCTCTACACCAATAACAGACAAACAGAGAACCAAATCATGAGTGAACTCCCATTCTCAATTGCTTCAAAGAGAATAAAATACCTAGGAATCCAACTTACAAGGGATGTGAAGGACCTCTTCAAGGAGAACTACAAACCACTGCTCAGTGAAATAAAAGAGGACACAAACAAATGGAAGAACATTCCATGCTCATGGATAGGAAGAATCAATATCATGAAAATGGCCATATGGCCCAAGGTAATTTATAGATTCAATGCCATCCCCATCAAGCTACCAATGACTTTCTTTACAGAATTGGAAAAAACTACTTTAAAGTTCATATGGAACCAAAAAGGAGCCCATATTGCCAAGACAATTCTAAGCCAAAAGAACAAAGCTGGGGGCATCACACTACCTGACTTCAAACTATACTACAAGGCTACAGTAACCAAAACAGCATGGTACTGGTACCAAAACAGAGATATACACCAATGGAACAGAACAGAGTCCTCAGAAATAATACTACATATCTACAACCATCTGATCTTTGACAAACCTGACAAAAACAAGAAATGGGGAAAGGATTGCCTATTTAATAAATGGTGCTGGGAAAACTGGCTAGCCATATGTAGAAAGCTGAAACTGGATCCCTTCCTTACACCTTATACAAAAATTAATTCAAGATGGATTAAAGACTTAAATGTTAGCCCTAAAATCATAAAAACCCTAGAAGAAAACCTAGGCAATACCACATAGGCATGGGCAAGGACCTCATGTCTAAAAAGCAATGGCAACAAAAGCCAAAATAGACAAATGGGATCTAATTAAACTAAAGAGCTTCTGCACAGCAAAAGAAACTACCATCAGAGTGAACAGGCAACCTACGGAATGGGAGAAAATTTTTGCAATCTACTCATCTGACAAAGGGCTAATATCCAGAATCTACAAAGAACTCAAACAAATTTACAAGAAAAAAAAATGACCCCATCAAAAAGTGGGCAAAGGATATGAACAGACATTTATCAAAAGAAGACATGCATACAGGCAACATGCATACAGGCAACACATGAAAAAATGCTCATCATCACTGGCCATCAGAGAAATGCAAATCAAGACCACAATGAGATACCATCTCACACCAGTTAGAATGGCAATCATTAAAAAGTCAGGAAACAACAGGTGCTGGAGAGGAGGTGGAGAAATAGGAACACTTTTACACTGTTAGTGGGACTGTAAACTAGTTCAACCATTGTGGAAGACAGTGTGGCGATTCCTCAAGGATCTAGAATTAGAAATATCATTTGACCCAGCCATCCCATTACTGGGTATATACCCAAAGGAGTATAAATCATGCTGCTATAAAGACACATGCACACATATGTTTATTGCAGCACTATTCACAATAGCAAAGACTTGGAACCAACCCAAATGTCCATCAATGATAGACTGGATTAAGACAATGTGGCACATATACACCATGTAATATATGCAGCCATAAAAAAGGATGAGTTCATGTCCTTTGTAGGGACATGGATGAAACTGGAAACCACCATTCTCAGCAAACTATCACAAGGACAGAAAACCAAACACTGCATATTCTCACTCATAGGTGGGAGCTGAACAATGAGAACACTTGGACAAAGGAAGAGGAACATGACACACAGGGGCCTGTCATGGGGAGGCAGGAGCGGGGAGGGATAGCATTAGGAGATATACCTAATGTAAATGACGAGTTAATGGGTGTAGCACACCAACATGGCACATGTATACATATGTAACAAACCTGCACATTGTGCACATGTACCCTAGAACTTAAAGTATAATTTTTAAAAAAAAAGAAATTCTGCTGTGTACTTATGAAATGGATAATGAAGAGAGAGCACTCACCTCTAACTCTCAGCATAGAGATTCCTGGCCTTTACTCTGAGTGGTCATTCACTGACTTTGCAAATGCATGTCTTTCTCTTTTCCAGAAGCTACCTCCAGTCAGCCTTCCCAAACTGGCCACCCAACCTCCACCTCAATCCTTCCCTCCTCTGCCCCAGCAGCCATGCTGTCCTGCTCTGCACAGCTGTCTGGTTTCTCTGAGTTACTTTGCTTCAGTGCCCTGCACCTGCAGTGGCAGATGGGTCCTGGGAGCTTCCTGACGACAGATGCCCAGTCTCTAGGGCCCAGGGTGATTTACACATAGTGGATGCTTGCTCAGTACAAGAAGTGCCCTGGGCTGACTAATCTAGGAACGCAAAACAAACCACTATAACTGAATCAGTGCAGTACTTCCTGGAACAGAAGCTAAGCTGAAAACAATGGCTGTAACCTCACAAGAAGCTCCACCCTTCCTTCTGCTCTAAGTGAAAATCTAGGTTGAGGAGGGAAAAACCTGCCTCTTCTCCCTCATTTCAACCCCACATCCCATCAATTCTGTTGTGTGAACATGGTGGGCATAGCCCCACCCAGAGCTGGACCTAGGACCTGCCTGGTCAGCGATCTTGCCCTCCACTTTCTGGTGCCAAGTAGGAGAAAGGACTTTCCACTTCATGTGACTCTGTAAGCACGGTGTGTTACACTGCAGTCTCACTTGCTCGCTCTCATTTCTAACATGCCTGGAGGTACACACTTCTTTGAATTTGAATATACAGCACCCTTGGTCTAGAATGTCTCCATAGCAAACCCATACTTCTGTGAAAGTGAACCCACCAGTCACCTCTCCAGGGATTCTTTGGCACACTCCTAACTCCTCCTACAGTTTGTGCACATTCACCATCTATTATAGAAAAGAGCACATTGCACTGTATTTGTATATTGCTGTGATTGTAGTCCACAATAAACTGTACAACTCCTTTCAGATGATAATCTTCTCTGTTATCCTGTATCTCCAGCACCAAGTGCCATATCTGGCCATGGGGTAGGAGTGGGAAAGGAGAACCGCAGTCCAAGGGCCTCTGTGCAGTCAGGGGTCAATCAGAGGGCATAAAAAAGGAAGGACTGACAGACTTCATCCTTTCCAGTTTGTGCCTCTTGTCAGTGAACAAAGGTGAGGTCACTTAGGTGGTGGTAACCATAGCTGTGAAGGCATGGACTCGGAATCATTCCTCATGAATGTAAAGGTACCCAATCCTTTCATTTAAAAGTTAAATGTTCTTAACTGACCCACACAGGAAACATCACAGGAAATAATGTTTCAGTTCAGTCTTTGCTCCCATTCAACCACAATTTCAAAATAGTACAGATTCTCCTCAAGATTGAGAAAGCAAAACCTCTTTGTTTATCCAGCAGCTAGGAGTCTGCTTTTTCTCAGCTTTCTTCCAAAGCACATGCATAGTATGATATCTCTTATCTCCCATGGGAGTTCCTTAAGAGTAGGACTGTTTGCTAGATAAATATTCTCCTTCTACCTTTTCATCTCCCTCCCCCACAATTCCCAAAGCACAGTGCCTGGCCTCAGGAGGCACCTAACACTTGATTATTAAGTGTTTTTTCTTCTAAAAGCCACTTTTAGTGTCTTCTAAAAGTGTTTTAGACGACTGCTTTTTATTTTTTAATTCAAGGCTCAATAAGCTCTCAGGTGTTTTGGGAATCTAGAACCCTCTCCCCTGTCCCCACCCCTCTTGGAAATCTAGAGCCCTCTGCCCTGTTCCCAACCCTCATTCTTAGATGGGTGGGTGTAGTCAAAGAGAACTTTCTCCTTTCTGCTCCAGGGCGTACTCAAGTGAAATTCTCACAGGTCTTGGAAGAAGAAAGCTCTTATATAGAGTTTCCTATGGTGGTCACAGAGTCAGGACCAAAGCTCTGCTATCACTTTGCTGAGTTCATGCAACCTCAGTCATTAGTTACAGCACATGATTGGAAATTACTGCAGTATCAAGTTTTGGGGATTGCATTTATACGTGCATCAGTGGTCACGTTTTGTACACCAAGGATAATCTGGAGAAATGCTGAGGATCACAATGCGCTTCCTGCTCCTTAAAAGCCAACAATCTACACGTCCTTTAGAGGTGTCTAAAGGACCTTTTAAAATACAGTTACTGAGCACATCCTGGTGTTTTGATTTTTAGCCACCTTTCTATTTAGTGGCTTTGAAGAGTCACTAACTTAACTTTAGAAAATTTCTCAAATGAAAAAGAACTGTGTCTTCTAGCTGTCTTTCTAAAGACAGCTCTGGCTGTGGGCTCTTTCCTCACTTTAAAATCACAAGGCCAATTTTCTGAAAACCAGAGCACATAGGAAATCTCCCCATTGTCATCTCGCAGAGAAAGCTCCAGGCATCAGGAATTACTACACAGAGTAATTCAAGCTCTGTAGCAATTAAGGCGTGTGAATGCCTCAACTCAGAGATTTAGATACCGGGAACCTGATTAAGTAAAAGCATTTCTGGCCTGATTGCCTTTGGGGATGTTACTAGTATCTTGCTAATCTGTCTTACTTTGTGCACTTAATATTTGCGAAAGAGAAGTTGCAGGAGATTTTATGGTTACTAACGAGGTATATGGAGACCCCTAAGAATACGCCCTACCCCACATTAGACAGCAAACCAGGTTAAAATGTCATCAACCTTACCTTTTCCAGACACCGTTCCTCAGTCCTTTAGGCAGAATTTAGTGATTATCCTTGAGGTGGCTGAGACAAGGCTGGTAACACGGGTATCCGGGGCTATTTGTGTAAAAGGAGAAGTAAAGGGCGAAAAAATATGATCGTGCTGTGACGACAGGAAGCCCAGATGAGAAGAAGGAGGAAGTGAGGCTGAGTCCGCCCTCTTTCGCCTCAGAGACTCAGTCCTTCCCCAGTGGCTTTTTAGAAACTTCCTCCCACAGCCCACCCTAAACTAGTTTCGTGAAACAAAGGAAAACTTCATAACCAAGTTGGTTCAGGCACAGATCTCTGAGCAGTGGTGGATTCTAGGGTAATTTTGGCGATGATTTTTGCTTAGAAAAGGACAGTGCTTCTCAATCAAGGTAGCATCTCAGAATTAACTGTTTATTTGTTCAAAAATAAGCATGCCTGGCCCCACCACCAGTTTCCTATTCAGGTAGACAGACTGGAGGGGAACACAAGAAACAATATTTCTAAACATTTTCTAGGCCTGAGACTTCGGAATGTCTTTCTGAAGATTCTCTGCTCCCTCCTCACACTCCCTGTCTGGCTTCAGCCAGTCTCTAGACTTCAGTTAATTGGACACCATTTGCAGACTTCTCTGTCTCAAGAGCAAGATTGTCTTAAGGTGAGTCCCCAAGGCATAATCCCAGGGGCACTGGTAGAAATGATTTGGTTAGTACAGGAAACACCACATTTGGAGCCAAAGATCTGAGTTTCAGTTCCAGCTTTATCTCTTTTAGCCATGAGATCTTGAGCAAGTCTCAATCTGTCAGCCTCAGTTTATTAATGGTAGCATCTAATAATAATCCTACTAGTTACTGTTACATCCTTATTTATATACAAGAAAACAGGGGCTCAAAGAGGTTAGAAAATTTGCCCAAGCTCATACAACTAAGACATGTCAGAGCTAGGATTCAAATTCCAGGTCACGGAGAATGCCTTTTGAGAAACACTGTGATCAATGTATTTTGAAAAATGTGTTTCTACTTTCACTATGCTGCATCACTGGAATTTCCTTAGACTGGGTCAAAGGAGTAGGTGACAACCCAAATACGTCACTAGCTAACTGTGAAACCTGGAAGCAATCACTGAGCCCCAGTGTTTTCATCTTATAAATGAACAGATAGATGACACTCTTTGTGATGCTGACTTGGAAGCATGCCTCTGGGAAAGCTAGCTGTCTCCCGCTTCCTTCACCCTGAGACATTCAGATCCAGAGTAATCTCCAGCCAGGGCTGTCTTGTGGAGAAAACTGAGTTAAATGATGGTAAAAAGGTATTTACTGCAGAGCTTGTCAGTCCTTAATATTCTCTAAGCAAGGGAAATAATATACAGATTTCCCCAAACTTATCTGAGCATCAACTCCGTGTGTGTGTGTGTGTGTGTGTGTGGTTTCTGTGTGTGGTTTGTGTGTGTGTGTGTGTGTGTGTGTGTGTGGTTTCTCTTAGGGAACAATTTTTTCAGTGTGACTACACTTTAGGGAATGCTATTAAAAACTTTCTGCTCCTCAGCTGGAATCACTGCCCGTCACTCAGGGCTGCTGCCATGCTGACAGATCCCTGAAGTGGTGGGGCTGAGAAGAGGCTCTGGCTGAACTCATATTTTCCTAGTTATCTCACCCATTCTGATGACTCTAATTACTCTGTCTGTTCCAAAGATTCACAAATCTATATGGATGCCATGATCTCTCATTTGAGCTCCACTCTCTCCCAGGCACCTCAAATCCAATATCCAAATTCAGTTTGATGAACTTGGCATCCCCACACTCAAGCCTGCTCCTCCCACCATGTCCACCATCTAGGAAAGACCTGACTGGCCTTTCAGCCACGTTCATGAGAAACCAGGTATCTTCTTAAGCTACTCTGTCTCCCACACCACCACCTATTATCAACCACCAAGTCCTGTCAACTATGCTTTTACCTAAATATTTCTCAAACCAGACCACCTGTTTCCAACCCCATAGACGTTACATTAGTCCTTATCTCTTACCTGTGTTACAGGATGCCAGTCTCCTTCAAGACCAGCTTGGACGTTTCTTCACTCCGTCCTCAGGAAGAAGGGAGGAGAGCCTTCTAAAATGCAAATTTAATCACATGACTCCCCAGCTTAAAACTCTCAGCTGGCTATTTCTTCCCTGGCCCCACCCCGGAGATCTCCTCACACTGGATAACACTGGATGTGGAATTCCTTTGAGTTGCTTAAACAAATCAATCTAGTTCTGTCTCACGTGTTCTCTCTAGAATATCCTCTCACCTGTTCACCTAATTCCTTACTCATCCTCCATCATAGCACTAGAAAGCCTTCCAGGCAGGGCCAGTTACTCCTGCTCTCTGCTCCCATTGCCCACAGGCATCCCTCCACCCTCTGTCATTCCTTGTTTTTCATTGTTTTTCCCCACTAGACTCAAAGCTCTGTAGGTTCTGTGTTACTCTGTATATGTTAGGTGATCTTGCTCATGACTGTATTTTTAGTGCCTGGTATTGGGTCTGGCACGTAAGAGGTGTTCTATAAATATTTCAATAGTTTCAGGTAATGTGAGGCCTGAAAGTTAGGGGAACCAGAATTTTGGGACAGGCAGAGAGAGTAAGGGGAAAAAAGAGATAGGTAGACTGAACGTCTGCAGAGGCAGAAGTGATAAATTAGGGGGAATCTTAGCAATATCAGGAAGACTATCTCAAGACAAATTGTTCACAGCAGAATAGATGACCATTTTAATGGAGAACATTTTTCCTTAAATGTGCCTCTTTCCATCATTTCACTGGGAAGAGTTGTTCAAAGTGCCAGACAACTAGAGGTGGCTGTTTCCTGGGATTAGGGCTTTGGTAGAGAAAAACATGCCCGCTTATACCCACACCTATAAGATTTTATTGAGAATTAATTCTGTTTCTGACCATCAAATATTTAGAATTCATTTGCAGGGACAAGAACAAAAACAACTGGAGAATAAGACAATGTCAGGGAACTCCATGTTATTGAATAACCCAAAAGAATGCTCAAAAACTTTGAACAAACTAGTTTAGAAAATGCATTTAGCAGAAGCTCAGACTCATGGCTTGATCTTCTCAATACAGGGTATATTGATCACCATCATAGATGATAATAGAACCTGAGAGTTTAGGAAACTTGAACTTGGCTAGATGAATAGTGGGAATACAAATTATGAGTACTCCACTATTACGCAGTCGTACTGGCCAAAATACATTCTGAATAGCAAAACCTCTTATGGACATTGTGAATTGAGTCCCCATTTAGACCTTTTTCAAAAGCCTTCTAAGTGAGTAGTTCTAACTGTTTTATTATTGGAAGATAATCACTGTTGAAATATGAGAATACAGATAGAACTTCCAAGTTTATTTCAGAGTTATTTAAGTACATAAGGATATTAGAGTTTAGGAGGCATAGATTTTGTGAGAATTATAAGATTGGAAACTTCAAACGAGAGATTAAAGTTAACTAGTAGTACATTGGATTTTGTTTATGGGCTCTAAGAGTAAAGTTTTGAAGAAAATGCAATAGAACATCATTCTTAACTTTCATTTTAGGTTCAAATGTACATTTGCAGGTTTTTTTTTTTTTTTTTTTTTTTTTTTGAGACGGAGTCTCGCTCTGTCGCCCAGGCTGGAGTACAGTGGCCGGATCTCAGCTCACTGCAAGCTCCGCCTCCCAGGTTCACACCATTCTCCTGCCTCAGCCTCCCGAGTAGCTGGGACTACAGGCGCCCGCCACCTCGCCCGGCTAATTTTTTTGTATTTTTTAGTAGAGACGGGGTTTCACTGTGCTAGCCAGGATGGTCTCGATCTCCTGACCTCGTGATCCGCCCGTCTCGGCCTCCCAAAGTGCTGGGATTACAGGCGTGAGCCACCGCGCCCAGCCCATTTGCAGGTTTATTATATAGGTAAATTGCGTGTGACACGGTTTTGGTGTACAGATTATTTCATCACCCAGGTGATAAGTGTAGTGACCAATAGGTAGTTTTTTTATCCTCTCCCTCCTTCCCTGCTCCACCCTCAAGTAGGCCCTAGTGTCTGTTGTTCCCTTCTTCGTTCCCATGTGTACTCAGTGTTGAGCTCCCATGTATAAGTGAGAATATGTGATATTTGGTTTTCTGTTGCTGCATTACATTTTTTTAGGATAAGGCCTTCTACCTGCATCCATGTTGCTGCAAAGAACATCATCTCATTCTTCCTTATGACTGAATAGTATTCCATGGCATATATGTACCACATTTTCTTTATCCATTGATGGTCATTTAGATTGATTCCATGTCTTTGTTATTGTAAAGAGTGCTATGATGAACATACACATGTATGTGTCTTTATGATAGAGCAATTTATGTTTCTTTAGATATGTACCCAGTAATGGGATTGCTGCGACAAAAGGCAGTTCTGTTTTATGTTCTTTGAGAAATTTGCAAACTGTTTTCCACACTGGCTAAACTAATTTACATTCCCACCAACAGTGTATAAGCATTCTCTTTACTCTGAAACCTCGCCAGCACCTGTTATTTTTTGGCTTTTTAATAATAGGCATTTTGACTGGTGTGAGATGGTATCTCACTGTGGTTTTGATTTGCATTACTCTAATAATTAGTGATGCTGGGTATTTTTTCATATGCCTGTTGGCTACATGTGTGACTTCTTTTGACAAATGTCTATTCATGTCCTTTGCTCACTTTTTAATGGAGTTGTTTAGTTTTTGCTTAATTAGTTTAACTTTCTTATAGATTTGAATATTAGACCTTCGTCAGATACATAGTTTACAGATATTTCCTCTCATGCTCTAGGTTGTCTGTTTACTCTGTTGATAGTTTCCCTTTCTGTTCAGAAGCTCTTTGGTTTAATTAGGTCTTATTTATCAATTTTTGTTTTTGTCACAATTGCTTTTGACATCTTCATCATGAAGTCTTTACCAGGGCCTTTGTCCAGAATGATATTTCTTAGGTTATTTCCCAGGGTTTTAAAAATTTTAGGTTTCAGATTTAAAATTTCATCCATCTTGAGTTGATTTTGGTATATGGTATAAGGAAGGGGTCCAGTTTCAATCTTCTGCACATGGATAGCCAGTTAGCCCAGTACCATTTATTGAATATGGAGTCCTTTCCATATTGCTTGTTTTTGTCAGTTTTGTTGAAGATCAGATGGTTATAGGTGTGCAGCAATATTTCTGGGCTCTCTATTCGGTTCCCTTGGTCTATGTGTCTGTTTTTGTATCAGTGCCATGCTGTTTTGGTTATGATAGCCTTGTTGTGTAGTTCAAAGTCAGGTAACGTGATGCTTCCAGCTTTGTTCTTTTTGCTTAGGATTATCTTGGCTATTTGGGCTTGTTTTTAGCTCCACATGAATTTTAAAATAGTTTTTTTCTAGTCCTGTGAAAAATAGTGTAGGTAGTTTGATAGGAATAGCATAGAATCTGCAAATTGCTTTGGGCAGTATGGTCATTTTAACAATATTGACTCTTCCAGTTTATGAGCACGGAATGTTTCCCATTTGTTTCCATCATCTCTGATTTCTTTGAGCAATGTTTTGTAATTCTTATTGCAGAGATCTTTCACCTCCCTGGTTAACTATATTCCTAGGTACTTTTTTCATTTTGTGGTGTTTGTGAATAGGGTTGCATTCTTGATTTGGTTCTCAGCTTGGAAGTTGTTGATGTATATAAATGATACTGATTTTTGTACATTGGTTTTATATATGTTGAAACTTTACTGAAGTTGTTTATCAGATCTAGGAGCTTTTGAGCAGAGACTATGGGGTTTTCTAGGTATAGAAGCATATTGTTGGCAGAAAAGGATAGTTAGACTTCCTCTCTTCCTATTTGGATGGCTTTTATTTTTTTCTCTTGCCTAATGGCTCTGACTGGGCCTTCCGGTACTATTTGAATAGGAGTGATGAGAGTGGGCATCCTTGTCTTGTTGAAGTTCTCAAGGGGAATGCTTCCAGCTTTTGCCCGTTCAGTATGATGTTGGTTGTGGGTTTGTCATAGACGGGTCTTATTATTTTTAGGTATGTCCCTTCAATGCCTAGCTTGTTGAGGGTTTGTAACATGAAGGGATGTTGAATTTTATCAATAGCCTTTTCTGTATCTTTTGAGGTAATTCTGTGGGTTTTGTTTTCAGTTCTATTTATGTGATGAATTGCATTTATTGATTTGTGTATGTTGAACTAACCTTGCAACCAAGGGTTAAAGCCTATTTAATCAGGTGGATTAGCTCTTTGATGTTCTGCTGCATTCAGTTTGCTAGCATTTTGTAGAAGATTTTTGTGTCTCTGTTAATGGGGGATATTGGCCTGAAATTTTCTTTTTTGGTTTTTGTTTCTGCCAGGTTTTGGTATTAGGATGATGCTGGTCTCATACAAGTAGTTAGAGTGGAGACCCTCCTCCTGAATTTTTTGGAATGGTTTCAGTAGGAATGGTACCAGCTCTTCTTTATACATCTGGTAGAATTTGGCCATAAATTCATCTGGTCTTGTGCTTTTTCTGGTTGATAGGATTTTTATTACTGATTTAATTTTGGAACCTCTTATTGGTCTGTCCAGGCATTCAATTGCCTCCTGGTTCAAATATGGGAGGGTGTATGTTTCCAAGAATTTATCAATTTCTTCTAGGTTTTCTAGTTTGTGTGCATAGAAGTGTTCATAGTAGTCTCCGAGAGTTTGTGTATTTCTGTGGAGTCATTGGTAATGTCCCTTTTGTCATTTCTGATTGTGTTTATTTGTATCTTCTCTCTTTTTTTATTTATCAGTCTAACAAGCAGTCTGTCAATCTTATTTATCCTTTCAAATAACCAGCCTTTTGATTTGTTGATCTTTTGTATGATTTTTTTGCATCTTAATTTCCTTCAGTTCAACTCTGATTTTGGTTATTCCTTGTCTTCTGCTAGCTTTGGGGTTACTTCACTCTTGTTTTTCTAATTCCTTCAGGTATGATGTTAGGTTGTTAATTTGTGGTCTTTCTACCTTTTTGATGTGGGCATTTAGTGCTATAAGCTTTCCTCTTAATACTGCTTTAGCT